ATAACCTGAACCAGGGACCCTCTTGACTAAATCCAAACCCTGGTCTGGGACCATGAGGGGTAAGATGCAAAAATTCATAGTTGTTTGGTTGGTGTTTATTTGTTTTAAATCTACAATTTAAATTCCCAAGTTCAAGGACAAAGGTTTTCCCTGAAATAACAAACTTCTGAATCTGTATTTTTAAGTTGGTTTTCTAGTCTCAAAGGTTTTTTTATTTGTAAGTGCTCAAGATTCAGTTTTACATGACAGATTGTATGGTCCTTGTGTTGTAGTGGATATTTCTTCTTAAAAATTAAAAAAAAAAAAAGTTGTCTTTCTAACACTGCTCAGAAAAACTACATACCTATGTCAGAGACACACAAAATACACCTGGTGAAAGGGGCAAGAAGGAGCAGAGATAGAGCAGTTTGGGAATCTAAGCAGTTCAAAAGCCTGCAAGATTTTCTTTAGAAAGTTACTATGTACCATATGAATGATCAGTTTAGTTTTTAAAGAAAACCTTGCAGATTTAAATTCTCAAAATTTATTCCTAATAGAGTTACTTCAGGAACCTATATAGCTACAAGGCAAAGACAACCATTTTTGCCACACAAGCACCTACAACTGCAGTCCTTGATTTACAGCATACAACCTCCATCAAACTGTATTTTGAGGCACTGCTCATCTCATAACTAATACTTGAAAAAAGGCAAGAGTCACTCTGAACTAGAAGGGATAAAAATATTTAACTCATGGCTCTAAGCTGGATGTGGCTGATGACTTGGTCTTAAACATTAGCCAGAAAAGATTTCTGAAAAGTATTTAATTTTAAAAGTAGGATATACAGACACTAAGAAAATAAAGCCATAGGTGTCTGAAAACAGAATCGAAAATTGTGCATCTGCCTCTGGAAAAGGCAGTGAGACAAGATTAACATGATTCATTTTGAGCAAAGAAACATCCTGATACATTTGGAACAAATGAAACATGACTATCAGTCAAAATTGCAGCAGTCCAGGCAAGAAGTTTGTTACAAGTCTTAGACCTTTGAAGTTAAGAAAGAGTAAACTTTTAAAGGTCAGAAGCAGCTCCTGAAAAAAAAAAAAAGGAACTTTTCAAAAGATGAGCACTGAAAGGGAGATTAAAGATGTGCTATTACTCAGAGAAACATAACTTTTGGACATAGTAAACTGAAGCATGTTAAGGCACAAACACATACACTGGTTTCTGATATAACACGTGCCAACCAATTATAGAAAACCAACTTTCCAATGTTACAGCAACCCAGAAACACAAAGCACTTAAAATCCTGTCTTCAGATCTAGCAACCCAAAGACATGATATCATACAACCACACTGCAGCAGAGAAAATACCCCAGTTTTGTTCTTTGAGAAAACACAGCAGTTCTGAACCCAGAGCCCAGAAAGCTTTCCCAGCTCACAGAAAGCAGGTTACTCCTGAGGGCAGTGGGGCTGTAAAGCACGATTAGACTCTCCCTTCCTGAAGGGACCACACTGAAATCTGTGCGTGCAATTTCAGCACGCCTGCATTACTGCAGGAAGAAAACTGAGGGCTTCTCAAATAAAAAACCAAAACACACAAACACCCCACCACCAAAACCCAAAACACAACACCACTGGCTTAAGGCAGCCAGTGAAAAATGTATCTTTACAAAAGACTTCGAGCTCATTTACTCAAGGAGGTAACTTTTCAACATGTGCTCAAATGATTCTGTTACAGTGGGAGGAACACACTGACTGGAGAACAGCAGCTTGCTAATACAATGTTTAAGAGAGTCTTGTTAGACTAAGTGAAACATAAAACAGTGTTTCCACCAGTGCGGGAAGGTAAGCAAAAGGAGCTGCACTGGCAAAGTACTTGCACCCAAGTAACCATGTAACATCCAGTGTCAGGAACTCACACCCCATTTTAAGGCTACTGTACCAAAAAAAGGTGACCCCACTGTAGAGTTGTAACTACCCTCAGAAACACTTAACATCTGGACAAGATATATATATATACACAATTGCCATTCTTTTCAACAAACTTAACATTTAAGTGGAAAAGAAGCTGTAGAGAAACACCTGGCAGCTTAAGGGAATCCGCAGTCCTGATCTTGAAGCTGCTCTAGAACTACACGAAGTTCAAGGAAAAAATGAGACCACTCAAAAATTCTAATATCCTGCACGACACCAACACTTTCTACATTGCTTCAAAATGTTCGTTTCAAGATGTGCTGCAAACATTTCAGTTTCCCTGTAAATCTCTGTTATTCTCACCTCCTAAAGGAGGTTTTATGGCAAAGCAAACTCCGAGCAGGGAACACATGAACCGTTTAAGACTAAGTCAGGAGGAGCTGCAGTACTGCAACAACAGTGGGAGATGCAGCTGTATCTGGTGCCTGCCAATAAATAAAGTGTAGTAGGACCCTCTTTGCTGACTTTTTCAGAAGAAAACCACCAACATTTGAGTTTAGGACTTTCCAAACCCAGAATATCAGTTTCATCTGGGTCTACTGTGAAAACATAAGCGAATTAGAGTCAACTTAGTCTTCAATACAACTTAGTCTTCAATATAAATACAATTAAGGTCTGCAAGTTTGGAAATAAGTTAACTGAAGTGAGTCATTATTTTTAGGTCTCTAACAAGCTAAAATAGGATTTCAGATTAAGAAACAAAAGTTTCAAAAAGTTAACAGCAATAGGAACACTCTGCAAGGTCCACTATCCACATGTGCTGGGAAGTTTCATCGACAGTGGAAGGATTTTACCTTTCTCCTTCCCTCTCTCTAAGGACCCTGTGATTCTAACAGTTTTAAAAAGAGTGCTTGAGTAAGTACATAAGCACCACGTTATTTATTTTCTATAATTAACTAAGGAGTGGGGACAACACAACAGCTTCTATAAGTGGCATTTACTTAATGAAAGCTGCTTGCACTATTTGAAAGCAAATGTAAGGAGCAGACACACATGAAGTGGAACTGTCCCAAATCCAGGTAGTAAGTTGTCAATACCAAAAATCCAGAAGAGTAAAAATCCTTTATATGTTTTTTTTATGCAGCATACATCAAGTGTATGCACCACCACAAACCTCTGCATAGCTAACAAGCGATGACAATCCAAACCACTCTGAGAAAAATAATCTCAGTTGTGCATTCCTGAAGCTAACAACTCCCATTATTTTACCATAACTGTAAAAACTTTGTTTACTAAGCTGCCCAGTAAGCTAAAAATTAAAATAGATTAAGTATTCTGGGAAAATCTGCACATCTTAAACTGAAATACACTCACAAATCATCCAAACTTTATTTGATCACAGATGTCTTAAGATACCTGCATTCCTCTGAATCAAAACACACCTTCAGCTTTCACATTTTTCAAGTATTAGGACTCCTCTCACAAAATATGTTTTTATTTCACCTCTCTAAACACAACAAGATAACTGCTGTCAAGACAAAAATGGTTACTACTCAATTAAGCACTGCCTTCCAAGTCTAGCACAAAATAAACCCTCGACAACTAGCTCTAGCTGAAGAGCAGCTTCTTCAATGCTCTTCTTTCCTACCAGAGACCTGTTGATCTTAGGAATAGTCATGTCCTCCAGTTACAACATAACATTGCCTGTATCTAACAGGCTCTAAGAGTTACACACAAACTCTTGAAAAGTAACATATCATTCACCAAGAACACAGAAGGAAAAAATAAACATTTTTACGATAATTCCAAGTAGAATCAAATCAACTACTCAACCAAAAAAAAAAAAAACCCTGCTACTAAATCCTTCTTTTTGCTGTCAAATGAGGAGCTTTTAAAAAACAAAACCCAGACCAACCAACCAACTCTTCCTTTTTCTTGCCAGCTGTTCACTGCATTGAAGGAGACCACCGGTGGCCTCAGAAACGCCACCAGGCTGGCAGAAGGAGGCCTCCTCCCCATCCCACGAGCTACTGAAGATTAAAGTGAGTTCAAAGAAACTCCTGCGGGACAGGTAACAAAGTGCTTCTAGCAAAATGACACCAAACACTTCACAAGAAGCATTAAAAAGCCAAACAGCCCTTTGTTGCCACCTCCTCCCTCCCAGTATGATCAGTTCATATTTGCTAGGGGGGGACACCTGAGATTCCCAACCTCCAGCTTGTCTTCACAGCATCACCACCAAAGACCTTTGCAGGACTGCAGAGAAGCCCCTTTATCTTCACAGCCCTTAAGCCTACAGGGGAATTTCAGACATTTTGGTCTCGCAGCAAAGAAATGGGAGATGCAAGATGAACTACACTCCATATTGATTCTTAACGCAAATAAGGTGAAATAACATTTAATTCCTAAGAAAATGAGTCTCGATAAACCTTATGTCCCAAACCTGAGATCTGGATTTTGGGTTTAGCTGTTTTTTCCTAAAAAAAACCCTATTTGAATCAGAAAAGCAGTTTTTAGATATCCTTCTGCAAAGAAGAGTAAGGAGGCTTGTAAAAAAAAAAAAAGTAAATCGAATAAGCAGACTGCATGTAAGAGGAAAAAGAAAATTAAACACATAAACCTCGTTTCTGAACGAGCTGTAAAAAAACCCTCGTACATGCAAAATAAAATAAGAAACCAGATCCATTTGTGTGTACACACGTAATTCAGCAATAAAGAGTAGAGAAGCACCATCTTCAGCACTATTCTGTATTTCTGCAACTGGCATTGAAGGCACGAGCTTAGCAAGGAGCTCAGGAATTACTGTTCCAAAAGACACGAAAATGACACTGTTAAGTCCTATCTGCAGCCGACCAAAAGCACGATAAACTGAAAGGCTTAGCTTTCCATCACTTCCAAAAACCCAAAAAGGGCAGAAACATCGCAATAGCCTCCCTATGGCACTAAAGCCAGTGGGCTCAAACTGAGTGAAGCCGGGAGAAGCAGAGAGATAGAAAGGCCGACGGCAGGCAGGAGTTAAAGGAGGGAGATTTAGGCTAGAAGAGGGGAGAAAAGGGCAGTAATTGGGGAGCGAGGTGGGGAGGGCCTGGGCCCCCGAGACTGACCTGTGCCGTCGCTGGCGGACACGGAGAGCGCCGGTGAGGAGAGTTTAGGCCGCTTGGCTGAAGGCGGGCCCGGCTCCACCACATTCTCGGCCATTTTTAATTCTTTTTTAGACAATCCCTTAGAGCGGAGAGACGGAGGGGGGTGAACCCCAAAACCTTCACCTTCTTCTCCGGCCTCGAGTCAGCTGAAGAACAACAATAACGCCGAGAGCGAGCGAGGAGGAACTGGCGGAGAAGGGGGGCTAAGTTCCCCTTTTTCTGCCCCTCGGGCTCCGGGAGGGCGGCAGCGGAGAAGTGGGGAGAAGGTGGGAGCTGGAGCAGGGGGGGAAAGAGGCCTCTTCCCCCGGGCGAAAGGGCTGAGATGGGAAGAGCAGGTAAAGCCCCCGCCAAAAAAAAATAATTAAAATTAAAAA